ATATTTATCATATCTGCAATATTCTGGAGGTGGAAGGAGTTTGTTTTTAAACTGGAATCATCTGAACATCTCTGCAGCTTCTGATTCTGGTAGCATTAAAACATGGTTTCTAGATCCGCGCATGTAGATTGTCTCCTGCTCCTTTTCCAGGTTGTCTCTGGAGGAGTTGCCAGCAACCAGTACATCCGAAAGGTTCTGACCATCATTGCAGAGCGGACTGGACTCCGGCTGCTCTGTCCTCCGGCCCGGTTCTGCACCGACAACGGCGTGATGATTGCATGGTGGGTCCTCCTTTCACGCTCTACATGGTGTCAGGTTTGGTGTGTCTGACTCGTTGGGTTTTCCTCTTCTGGGCAGGAATGGAGTGGAGCGTCTGAGGGAAGGAAAAGGCGTGCTGGCGCCGGACGTGGACGTCAGCTACGAGCCAAAGTGAGTCTGAAACGGGTCAGTGGAGGAGATCTGGACAGGAGCTCCCATCGCCATGAAATCATCCAAATATTTGCTGCTTTTAGATCTTTGTTCTTCCTTTTGAAGAAACAAAGTTCTGGGTTTTCTGGTCGCCTCGGTCTGGTACCAGTTTAGTCTTTAAAGGATAGTTTAGCAGCTCTGTTGGGTCAGAACATCTGGAAAGATCTGAGGAGACGTCCATCTTTAGAGGCGCTGAGAAAAGAGTTTAGGAGCCGTTTCTGAACTTCTGCTGATCTGGAAGGACCAACATCTGGAAAACCCAAACATATCCTGGAGGATCAGTCAGACGGACAAAGATTCAGCTGATCCAGAACCCCGACCCGGTTCTGAGGCACAGAGGAGGTAGCATCATGCTTTGGGTGCGTTTGGTTTCCAGTTCTGCTGATGAACTGGAAACTTTGGACTCAAACTTTGGACCAAACGGTTCTGGACCGGAACTAAACCATTTGAAAGATTCAAGGATCATCAGTGAGAAGCGGTTCTGAGCGAGAAGGACGGGTCCGATATCAGAATGCTGCCAGAGGCTTAGTGAGGGAAACAGATTCTCAGTCATTCAGGTCAGAGTCATTTAATAAAGTTCAAATCAATCCACTGGACTTTGATTCCTTTTTTGAAGACGTTTCTCTTCCATCCAGGAAGATTTTTCATTTCAAAATGTCAGAAATAGCGTTTAGTTCCAGGTTTTATAAAGTGGACCAAAATTAATGCCTTGTTTTGGCTTAAAACATGCGAATAGAAACAGACGAACGGGTCCACCCCCTCCCCCCATCCGTCCGTTTCTATTAGGGCTCGTTTTCTAATGTTCTCTGTTTGGATCAGAGGAAAACCCTCAGAATTCTGACCCGGTTCTAAAGACGTCTGAGCAGAGCTGCATGTTCTGACATGTTCTGATCCGGTTCTGTTGCAGAGCGCCGCTGGGTGTGGACATCTCAGCGGAGGTGAGGGCGGCCGCCATCAGGCTACCGTCGGTCCGGATCAAGATCCCCGACTGAACCAGAGTCCGACCCGTTTCTTCTCTAATTTATTAATAAACTTATTTTCATTCAAAGTTTTCTGATTTATTGATTGTTTTTCTTCTCAGTGATTAAAGAAAAACCTTCAACATTTTCTGAGCTTCAAGTTAATAAAGTATGGCAGCATATGAGGGACATTCAGAGCTTAAAGTGGCAAATTTACAAGTAAAAACAACCAAATTTACAAGATTATAAATTATTAGTTTATAATTATTTACTTAATATCATTTAGTCATTAGTTAAAATTATTTAGAAGGAAACAAATAGTGAATTTACGAGATTATTTACAATTAATGATGCATCATGTGCTTTATTTAACATACTTTCACAGGTATTATAATGAATTGCTCCACATATGTACATGTTTAGATCTCACATCTTTTCTCCTAAACGTTCCTGTTTTTTTATTCAGTTGTTCCTTTTTCTCTTATAATTGTTTTAATTTAGTAAATTTGTGATTTTTTTTCTTACATTTGCTTGTTTACTCTCATAAAAATGCTGAAATCAGGCTGAACTTCTGTGGAGCAGCAGGAGTTTTATTTCTGTAGAACACCACCATCTAGTGGACAGGCAGTGGAACCGCACCTCCAGATTAGATTCATCAGTTTATCTGTTCTGACCAGAAAGAAAGGATTCAGTGACTGTTTTCCAAACAAATCAGCTTTAAATGATTGAATTATAATGAAACTACCATAAACATATAAAAGTTATAAATTATAACCACATATGGTTCGTTCCTGCAGGACTTCATCTGATCTCCAACTTGCTGCTGTTGAGATTCAGCAGAGAAAGAAATGCTGATCCTGCAGAGCCTCCTGACTAACTGGGATAAGACCAGTTTACCGCTCAATCCACTAATCTCTATTTCTTCCCTGGATTGCTGATTGCCCATTGGTTATTACGGGGTTGAAGTGAAGCCACCGGCAGCCATATTAGACTGGCCAAAATGTAAACCATTAATGCGCTACAGCATGGAACAACAATGATGTTCTCATTTTCAGGGGGATTTAAGACTTTTAAAATAAAGATAAATTCATCCCTTTGACACAGACTGGCTGTTTCATAGCATCAGTAGATTAACTTTAACTCAGAATAATCAATCTGACTGGATGACCTTGTTGAACTGTAAAGAGCATTGAGATGACATGATGTGAATTGGCGCTAGAGAAATAAACTGAATTGAAAACAGAACTGAATAAAAACAAAACAGGCCCATCACATTGAATAGTCATTATGGAGTCAATAAATCATGTAATATAACATATTATACAATCCATCACAATAAAATTAATGTGTTAATGGAGCAAAATACAGATGAGCCAAAAGTGCTAAATATATGGTGTACATGTAAGATAAATGTATTTATTACATTGTTAACGTAATGACATGTC